TGCATCAACGACGCATGCCTGGAGTACTCCGGAGGGACGCCCTTGCACATCGCCGCCGCCAACCTGAGCCTGAGCGCCACCCGGGTCCTGCTCCAGCACGGCGCACTCCCGACTCTCACCGACACCCAGGGACGCACGCCCTTCCGTGAGTTGGTTTCTTTGGAGGAGTGGGGGGAATTTGTTACTGTTATATTGTTGTTTTGTCGTGAAATGGGCTATGGCTCTCTCTCTCTCTCTCTCTCTCTCTCTCTCTCTCTCTCTCTCTCTCTCTCTCTCTCTCTCTCTCTCTCTCTCTCTCTCTCTCTCTCTCTCTCTCTCTCTCTCTCTCTCTCTCTCTCTCTCTCTCTCTCTCTCTCTCTACCAACCTGCCTACCTACCTCTACCTCCCTTCTTTTCTCCTCTTCCTATTCATCTCGCCCACTCCTTCTTTTCCCTCTCTACCTTCCCCCTCGTTAACTCTCCCTCCCTCGACATAACTAACCCCCCCTTCCCCCACCACAGAGTGCATCCCCGCCCCCGACCAATACGAACTCGTCCCCGATGTCCAAGATGTGATCGGGCGCCTCCGTGCTCTACTCTCCCCTACCGGCACCCACGCCCACACCTCCGCCCACGCCCACAGCTACGCCCACACCAACAGCCAAGGGTCTTCGGGAAGGGCTGTACTCAAGGCCATGGGACTGAAGCTCGGCGATCGAGTCCTTGTGAGCGGCGTCAAGACAGGGACGCTGAGGTAAACAAACGCGGTGGATTCACAGGGACTGGGCGCTTAGTGTCTTCTATATTTGGTTGTATAAATGAAAGAAATTAACTAATTGTTTCTTTTACGTTTTGTTATTTTTTAAGGTTTTGTTTATGGATGTTGAGCACTAGTTTAAGTTTTGATGTTTTTAGAGGTTTTGCTTTGGGATACTGTAATATTAATGTGTTCAAAGACCAAGGGCCCCAAAATAAAGTAAATGTCGTAATGATACAATAAGTTTCTTTGATATTCATAAAGAAGGTCAGTGAAGATGCTTAAGGATATATAAAAATGTATATTTTATATTAACAAAATTCCTCAAAGAATTATGGAAATGTCCACCAGTCGTCTTCGGAGTGGATTATATAATGGGACTTGCTTTTCGTTTTTTCTAAGATCTTCCTTCTTGTTTTAGGTTCGTTGGCGCTACAGAGTTCGCGACGGGTCTGTGGGCGGGAGTCGAACTGGAGACTCAGTCCGGCCGCCACAATGGCACTGTCAAGGGCGTCATGTACTTCCGGTGTGCTAACAATTATGGTAAGATTTTTTCACTTTTGTGATTTCTTGTTTTCTTCCTTTTATAAGTTTGTGAAAAAAACTTAGTTAAACTTCCCTGATCCTGTATAAACACTGAACAAACGCCGCTACCTCTGCATGTCCTGCACTAAAACCTAACCTCCTGCGCCTTCCTCCCCCCGCAGGTGTCTTCGTACCCGTCAACCGCCTGACGAAGATCCCCAACGTGAGCGGCGGCGGACGCCAGGGCCGCTCCACCTCCGTCGCGCACCGCCAGCAGCGCTCTCCGAGGGTGAGCGGGGGGGCGCACCCCAGTCGCCGCTCCGCCTCGCTGCCGCCCGGACGCGTCAATCACGGTCGCGTCGACGTCTCCAGGGTGGCTTCGCGGGTTGCTCAAGGTACGCTTGCTGGGTATTGAGGTCCTTTTTCATCCTTTTACAATATTTACTAAATTTCGATACAGCTGCGATTGAACGTATTATTGGATCCGTCAGATAGACTATGATTATGATCATGATTATAATGACATTTTTAGAGCCCCTTTTATTTATTCACCTGAGGAGGATCTAGTTCTCTTTTTTATGCTATGCGTTGTGGAGTCTGTTTTTTCCTTTCTACTTTAATATTGCAATTCCGTATTTAGAAAGTTACACCTAACGACACGGCCTCCCTCCCTCCTCTCCACCCGCAGACATCCGCAACACCACCCGTAAGATTGTGGTGGGCGACCGCGTGTACGTGGACATGGGCGTGGGTAGCGGCTCGTCCCAGCGCGCGGTGACGGGCGTGGTAAGGTACACGGGCGCGGTACACTTCGCCTCAGGATTCTGGGTGGGCGTGGAGCTCGACTTGACAAGGGGCACCAACGACGGTTCGGTCAACGGTACGAGGTACTTCGCCTGCAGGAACCAGCACGGGATCTTCGCCGCGCCCTCCAGGGTCATAAAGTAAGTGTCTGAGGTGCACCGAGTGTGGGCGTGGATGCGACAACAAAACGAAACAAAAGAAGCATCAGCGAAATGAAAATATAAATATTTTAACGTGGATGTGATACAATAGAATGACAACCATTATGGCGTGGGTGAGACTAAGGTGTGGATGCAATGATAATGTTATTATAACTAAAAAGACGTGGATGCGATTAAATTAAAACAAATAAACACCCTAAACTGCTCTTGGCTTGTAATCGATGATTAAACTAATCAACATAGTGTAGCACTCGTCTGGTAACGTAGTAGAGGCTTTAGCAGTAGTTACTTAGTTCTGACACCGCGTACTTTGTGCAAAGTCAAAATGCACCCCATTAAACATGCAGCCCTCTGTTAGCTAACATAAAACTAATAAACAATAATAATCACGTAAACTTTCCATAGATCTTAGCAGCTTCATTACTCGTAGAAATGAAGACTAACAACACTTCCTCTCCTTTCCCCTCTCCTCTTCCCCTTCCTTCCCCTCCCTCCTTCCCGTCCGCCCTCGCCGCCCCTGCAGGATCAGCAGCGACCCGGACGCTGAGGACGTGGGCGCGGACATGCGTCACAGCCGCTACTCCCTCAGTTCCACCCACGGCTCCACCCACGCCATCAACACCTCCTGCAGCGGCTCTCTCAGCCTAGGCTATTGCCCACCGCCGCCCTCCTTCGCCGGCTCAGGACCCATCAGCCTAGGAACAAGCATGGGCAGCTCCTCCAGCGCCGTCCTGGGCACGAGCGTGGACGACCCCTACGACGAGTGCGTGCACCTGCCCCCCGCCAGCCACCTCCTGGACGACCAAGCGCAGGGGGCGCTCGCCAGGACGCACTCGCTCAAGACGGCCATCTACCCCAGCACCACCATGACCAGCCTCAACAGGTCCTTCTCCGCGCGGTGAGTCCTCGGCTTCCTTCGGCTTCTTCGCCCCCCCCCCCCCCCTCCCTCCTCCCTCCTCCCTCCTCCCTCCTCCCTCCTTTGCCCTTCTTTCCTTCATGAGTATTTCTTTAGTGTTGTATGACTCTTAGCCTGCTTCCTAACGAAACCAAGCTTCTCTCTCTCTTTCGCTTTGGGATTGCATGCATTAATTGTAAAAAAAAAAACTGGGGGATATGAAAATACGACCGCCCGCGCACACACCCCACACACGCACACGCGCACACACACACACACACACACACACACACACACACACACACACACACACACACACACACACACACACACACACACACACACCACAACAACAACAACAGGCAAACAAACAAACCTACACCCACATCTTCTCTCCCTTCCTCCGTCACCCATCAACGCCCCCCCCCCCCCCAACTTATCTTATCATCCCCCCAACTTATCTTATCTTACCCCCCCAAAAAAAAAAAAAAAACTTATCTTATCTTATCTCCCCTCCCCCCGCAGCTACGTATCGTCCCGGCAGCGGCAGGAGGAGATCGAGCGCGCGGCGGAGGAGCGCAAGAAGGAGCAGACGTGGTGCGACCCCCCGGTTCTCCCCGGACCCAAGAACCCCAAGAAGAAGACGGAGGACCAGCACTGGCTCGAGGTCGGCCATAACGTCTTCTACAAGAATGAAGTCGGTGAGTTTTTTTCGGACAGGGGAGAGGGGGAAGGAAGGAGAAGGAGGGGGGAATTGGAAGGAGGAGGAGGGAATAAGAAGAAGGAGGAGGAGGAGTGAATAGGAAGGAGGAGGAGGAGGAGGGAATAGGAAGAAGGAGGAGGAGGAGTGAATAGGAAGGAGGAGGAGGAAGGAATAGGAAGAAGGAGGAGGAGGAGGAGGAAGGAATAGGAAGGAGAAGGAGGGAATAGGAAGAAGAGGAGGAGGAGGAGGAGAGAATTGGATGGAGGAGGAGGAGATAATAGGAAGAAGGAGAAGGAGGGAATAGGAAGGAGGAGGAGGAAGGAATAAGAAGAAGGAGGAGGAGGAGATAATAGGAAGAAGGAAGAGGAGAAGGGAATAGGAAGGAAGAGGAGGAAGAGGAGGGAATAGAAAGGTGGAGGAGGAGGAGGAGGGAATAGGAGGTGGGAGGCGAGGTTGAAGCGTGGGTGAAGGGAGAGGGACTAAAAGGGGAGTGGGGGGATGAAGGGAGCAGGAAGGGGAGATGAAGAGGGAAGTGATGGAGGAAACGAAGAAGAGATGAAGTGAAGTGAAGAAGGGAAGGAGGATGGGATGAAGAGGGGATATAGCTTGTAATCAGTTTCATCGTATTTGATTTTATTATCAGAAAAATATTTTGAACATAATTCAAAATGGATTTTTCTCCTCTATCCTTTCGTTTTGCCTTCGTTGTTCTCTCTTCCTTTTGTCTTTTTTATCTGTTCTTCCCTTCCTTCCTTCCTTTCCTCCTTCCCTCCACCTTCCCACTCAGTTATCTCCCTTCTCCCTCCTTCCTCCCCCTTTATTCCGCTCTCCCTAACGCCCGTATCTTCCAGGCGTGATCAAGTACATCGGGCGCGTGGACTTCGAGGCGGGCGTGTGGCTGGGCGTGGAGCTGCGGGCGGCGAAGGGGCGTCACGATGGCGTGGTCCGTGGGCGTCGCTACTTCAGCTGCCGCCCGCGCCACGGCATCATGGTCCGCCCCAGCAAGGTGTACGTGAGGGGAATCAACGGAGCCACACTCGTGAAACCCGAGGAGGAGCTCGAGGAGTAGAGGTGTTCCTCGGGGCCGCCCGGGAGTCGGACTCTCGGGAGAGTCGATGGAATTTAAGAGTAGAATTACGTGTCTTTGCATGTCGCTCGTGATGGCCTCTGGGTTCT